GGAGTGAGTGAGTTTTACGCCTCCTCCAATATATTCCAGCTATATGGCGGCGGTCTATAAATAATAGTCAGGACCAGACAATCCAATGGTCAACAGCATGAGCATCTGTCTGCGCAATTGGGACACGATGACATGTGTCGAAGACATGGTTTACCGTTAGTTGGTTCCCTCAGCTTCTGTGTAGCATACAGCAACCGTTTGATGTGACCTGCAGAGATAGAAATAGAGCGTTAGGATTTTTAATACCTAAGGTATTGTTATTGGTGTTATGGGTAAGACTTTGTCCTCAATCATCTATGTTTGTGGTGATAGATGACGTGATTGCCTGACTGGTCTCACTCGACGCACATGCTAACTATCGTCACACAGTCCCTCGTACTAGATAGATCGTTTACACTTTTCTGAATTTATATATATCCAGTGTTGGAGGTTGACAATTATGACACTCGACGCACATGCTAACTATCGTCACACAGTCCCTCGTACTGGATAGATCGTTTACACTTTTCTGAATTTTTATATATCCAATATTGGAGGTTGACAATTATGGTAGCTGGTTCAAGGCATCAAGGCATCAAGAGAGAGAGAGAGAGAGAGACAGAGAGACACAGAGAGACAGAGAGACAGAGAGGTTTGATGTGTACGGTAAAAGATGTTTCCATCTTGTCTTTTGGAGCAACTAGAGCTACTACTTATATGTTACTCTCTCACCGGCCATAGTAATCCCCAGTTCCTTCTCTACCTCCTTTCTCCCGTATGACTTCAGTATGCTGAGATCCTTGGCCTTCTTGATGCGGTTCCTCTTGAAGTTCTGCTCATACTCAGCCAGACCTATAGTCTCCAGCCATTGTATAACACTATTCTGAAACACAATTGCCGTATAGCACAACTGTGTCATAGAAAACCTAAAAGTTATATTCGTTTCGTATAATTAGGTGACAAATGTACTATGTTTAGGGTATAACTGTACTGTGTTTGACGAATTGGGGACGTATACCGGTGGTTATATAGATGCAAATTTAGTTATATCTATTTAAACCAGGTCAAAGTTCCCCTAGGTCAAAGGTTAAGCATATCACTTCTTGAACTTACACCATCGCCAGAGAAAAAGTAGTTCCCTTTTCAACCTTCATCACGTTTATTATATATGCACACTGACTAAATCTGTCAATGATGAATAAATCATAGTGTTATGCATAAAATGGACGGAATTATGATGAAACCGCCCTCTAGTTATCAGAAATGAGCGGCCCCCTGATTCCTCAACTACGGGCCATTTTCAGTTGGGTTGTCAAATGACGTCACAGCATAATGACGTCATAAATCGTGTTCCATGATCTAACAGTGTTGGTCCACAGCCTCATGCGAGTAAGTTGTTTGAACTCAAAATTATATTTATGATACTGCTTTGTCATTTTTTTAACACAAATTCCACCCATTTTAGCTGGATAGGGGAGTCAATTTAGCCAGGGCTTCTGCAAAAGACAATGCGTTACCCAATAGTTTAGGGATACATACAAAGGTTTTGGTGAATCGGTTTTCAGATTGCGACCGTGTATGCTGATTATATGGTCGGAACTTTATAGCAGTGACCAATCAGAACTCGTGTTACATACTCAGTTGAATTAGAATTGAACATAAGATAAATGTTTGACCGAATCGATACTCCCTAAATTCCATTTGAAACACGTAGCGGACGTATTGAGGCGGTAATGTATACGTGAGCATTGAAGCGATGATAAAATCAGACGCATTTTCAATCCAAATTGATAGTGTCTAATTGATTGTATTTATTGACTGTCCAATCGTATTCAAGTATTTTACGTAGTCATGGTTGAACTATTATTTGAAACATTTTACAGGATATCTTCTCCTTTGAGTGGCATTTTGAAGCTGGTATGATGAACAGGGGCGATCTTGTATGGACAGACAACACCTTTACTTCTGTGGATGCGACGTTTAGGTGTGGAAGCAAGTAATGCTTGATTACAGTGTCAGCATCTACACCGAGACGCCGCATACATAGCAATACAGAAGTTGTCTACCCTTACAAATCGTTCCTGTTTTACAAGATGGACCAGGTGTTCAGTGGAAATCGTACTGGATTTCTCTGATCGTTGTTCGCAATATCCAGCACTGGTTTGTCAAGTTATTTCACAAAATAGTAAAATATATCTCTATATGATGCATATGCAAATCAGAGTTATTGCCCTTTGACGTTGCAGAAACCTATTATTGTTTATTGCAGTTATGATATTATTTTGGCTGCATATTTGTTATCACCTGTGCTGTGAGTTTCAGAAATGAAGGAAACTTCAAAGATCAGTCGGCGTGATCGATTCCCTTTGACATCCTAGTGGCCACACACAACTGGTATACTGCCCAGAGCAGTGTTAAACCCAATTACAGTTCTGCTTGATTGTGTTTGTGTTGTGTAACTTCGCACTCAGTAATGTTCCAGCCCGTCAATAGTTAAACACTATGAACACCAACCCCTACCCGTACTCTCTCAGCCTACTTACCGGTACTCCGTACTCTATCTCAAATGCAGGCAGTATCTCAATCATCTGCAGCAGATCCTGGCGCGCCCCCTTGTCCTTGATGCCGATGTTATACAGCTCTTTCTCAGTCATACCAGATATATGAGAGAGTGCTGTCATACCCATACTGTCTGAACAATGTGCTGTACTCCTTTAAAAAGCATGGAATCATACTAAACAGCTGTTTGGGCAGCATTTGTTACATTTGGGATTACACTTTCTGAGTAAAAGTACAGATTCTAGTAGTTTTGCTCACACATTTGTGCAGCTGAACTGGGTTTTAGGTTTACTCGCATTTGCGGCGAATCGAACCGTATCCCATGATCAATTCAATTCGTTATTTGTAATCACTAAAATCAATTATTTATGATTTTTTAAAAAATCCACTTTCACTTTAATGTGTACGTTATTTCTCAAAGTAATATACACCTTCTGTGTGACGTATGTTATACTCTTTCACTTTTAATATGTAAGTTATTTCTCAAAGTGATATACACCTTCTGTGTAAGACGTATGTTATACTCTTTCACTTTAATATGTAAGTTATTTCTCAACTGATATACACCACCTGTGTAAGGTATGTTGTAATATTTTCACTTTAATATGTAAGTTATTTCTCAAGTGATATACACCTTCTGTGTGAGGTATGTTATACTCTTTTCACTTTAATCTGTAAGTTATTTCACAAAGTGCTATACGCCTTCTTTGTGACGAATGTTGTACTCTTTTCACTTTCTACAGAGAATATGTTATACTATTTGTACGCACTCTGTTCCCGTTCTATGGTGGTACATTTCGCCCAATCTATGTGTATCGTTCGTAAAGATAAATGTTGTTCTATCTATTACACTGTCCCCGTTCATGTTTATAAGGCTTCTTTTACTCGGCTGTGTCTGATCTCAATATGTATAAGCTATCTTTCCTTACATCGCTATGGAGACACGCGTGTATCTGTTCTTATAGTATTGACCCTCCTTGGAATTTGTTTACCTCTACGGAGACAAGTGTGGGGCTGTTTCTGTTCAGCCACCATAGAGAGAGATGCCTGTGTCTGTCCTTACTCTGTTGTCTCTGGTTTGAGACACACATGCATTCATACTGTGAATCTTTCTTGAGATACACCAGTGGGTCTGCTCCGGCTCTGCTGACTGTCAGTGGAGACACGCGTGTATCTGGTCTTACTCTGTACATCATTATAGAGACACACGTGTGTGATATTCCTTACCTTTAGTTCCGTGGGAAGCCACTCCTCAACTGGGATGGACAGGTACTCATCTTGGTCGTCATCGTCATCGACATCCGCCGACCGCGGTCCACTGCTGGCGCCAGGCTCTGTATGAAACATCGAGTCTAGCTTAACAGATTTTACATTAAATGTTATTTCTTGTTTTTGTTTAACGTCGCACGCAGCAGCTATTCAGGCTGTATGGCTGCGTTAATGTTTGTAAAAGCTGAAAGATGTAACATCTAAGTAGTTAGACTAAGTTCTCAATATGCCTGTATACATGAATAAAGGCAGTAAGGTAAGGCGTAGGTCAAGAGGAACTGAATCATAGATGTGTTGTCATCAAAGCGTTAATTGTGGAATGTCGACACCAGTCTAACATAAGCTTGTGAACATTTTGCCTTAAAGAAGTTTACATGATGCTAGCATAATGAAATATCTTCAGAGAAAGTAGCAGCCTGCTTTTGGGAATATTTAAAAATGCAACATCAGTTGCCCGTCAAAAGTCATATGATGAAGCAAACAATGGAACAGGGTAACTCCATATATAGTAGATGCTGACAATTTGGATGTCTTCAGTAACCCGTGCTTGTATGAGGCGACTAACGGGATCGGGTGGTCAGGCTCGTCCTGGTTGCCACATGTCATCGTATCCCAGTTGCGTAGATCGATGCTCATGCTTTGATCACTGGAATGTCTGGTTCAAAACGATTAGTTACAGACTGCCGTCATGCAGCTGGAATGTTGCTGAGTGCGGCGTAAAGTTAAATTCACTCACTCACTATAGTTCCGGTAGGCCAAACACTGGAATGTTGAATTGTATTGATTATTACGATCGGTATAACTGGAGCCTAGTTAGCGAGATTCCCTTCTACTAAGTGATGATACACATCTAAGAAAAGGACCAGCAAGAAGTTTCTATTAAACATAGATGTGATGAGGAAGCCACGATTTCCTTACACAGTGTATTATTTTCTGGTCATGCTTCAGATGACTCAGTTTTGCCTTGAACTTTTGGAGATAGAGATGAAGCCAAACCTCCACTTGGCCAAGGAATGACATGCCAGTGAGCTGAGGTAATAATGCATTATATTGAGCTGTTGATGCATTAAGTAGTGAAGGTGAAGTGCTTGAACTTACTTAGATCCTCGTTAGATGCCCATTTCTCAAACGGAGGCACTTCAATTTTCAGGGTCTTGTCAGTGGAGATTCCCCGTTTGATACAGCAACTGAATCACGTGATCAGAAAGAAGACGAATGTTTTTAAACTTATGAAAACCAACTGGTCGTGGAATCTTGACAAACAGTTCCAGACTTACAATGGTGGCTTACAGGTTTGCTGGACTGGATCCTCAACATGGCGGACGTGACTCAGTTATGTCCAGTTCGCTGAGAAATACCGAGGCTACTGCTGACAAACAGGCACATTAAACATCACTATCTGGATTTTTATTAGACATAACTTCACATTCATTGCTGATCGGCTAGTTTCTTTCATATTACAATAAATCGACAGGAAATGAGTCTATGAGTTTTGACGCATTGATATTGAAAGTGAAACTGAAATGTTAGGTCCAGAAACTGCATATATTCTGCGTAGTCACTGCATGAGAAATATTAACGGTACAAAGTCATTGTCTAAGAAGCACACGAGGCGAGGAGGGTCGACTATTGATCAAAGCCTCCGTCGTCAAGCCGATGACTCACAAATATTGCTAAACGCGGCGTAAAATCACACTCACTCACTCACTCACTCACAAACCCACTTACAAACATAGGATCTCCATTATCTTCTGAAGTCGCTTGTATCCCGGTTCGCCCATAACGTCTCCATAGTTCTTCTTCTCTCGGGTTCCTGCAGACACCAAGAATCATTGCACAGCATTAGATGTAACAGTGCTGAATATGTATAGCGAATGGAAGTGCAGACATAACAACCCTAAAACCTTGAATATAGTCTTGGTTGAGGCCAGTGGGTTGTAAATCTAAATCTCGGAAACCAAAACCAATGGCAATCATGACACCCTCCTCTAAACAATGTGTGGCACTGTATATTATTAAACATTTAAAACCCGAATATATTTTAGTCATGTGTATTAGATGCAGTGTAAGTAAGTGGGTGTGTGACTGTGTTCAGCTTGACTCTCAGCAATATTCCAGCTTTAAATAACAATAGTGTCTGGACCAGAAATCCAGTGGTCAACAGCATGAGCCTCGATCCACGCAATTGGGAACCGTTCACATGTATCCACCAAGTCAGCGAGCCTGACCACCCGATCCCACTAGTTGCCAGCATTGGTAACTGAAGACCAATTCTAACCCGGATCCTCACAGGTCTCAGTGTAATTAGGTCACAGTTCTTGTTAAACCACTGCCTCACTGTGGGAATGTGGGTCAGGATCTCTTAAAGTACTAGAATCTCTACTTCACCAAGAAGTTGTGCTCACAAGAACTGATGACTTTTTAAAAGGAATTGTTTATACTCGATAGTGTTCGGTTTCGGCACGACAGTATCACAATATTGATGCAAGAAGCACCAATCTGATGCAGAATGGGAATCTTGACAACCGTTATCATGCCGGCACTTACAGGACCACTAGCCCTACATATATCAAAGTATATAGTGGTCAGGCTTGGTTGCATAAGGCACAACATTGGGTGGGTACCTCAAGACTGTGACAATATTCAGTTTGCATCCCTGATTCGTGTTTCTGTGTGCTCAGCTCCAATCTTGTGCTGGCTAGTTTCACCAACACTGTTCATCCTATCTCGAACAGCCAACTTTCATGCCGTGATATAATTGAAACACTGCTTAAAGCGGCGTAAAATCAGACTCATTCAGCGTGAAGTATACCCCAACTCTTGTCTGGAATGTTGCACACGCTGTAGATCATCAACAGCAGGTACCCGGATGGTAGACACAGAAGGTAACATATGCCATATATGAGGCACAGAAACTCTCTAGGGTGAAGCACGGCAGCGAGGACAAACACGGAAAAGATTGACCACAGGTAGATTGTGGTTGGTGATACTTTTCGTACTGCTCCCATTGTCGGCGGAAAAGAAAAGCTTCCCCTGGAGGCTTTTGGGTACCCGATCCATTGCCAAAAGTTGAAGGTTCTCCGTTAATACTTGAAATCAGGTCCATCATCTGAAGAATAGCATTAACAACATTTCATAAACGTAACGTTAAGAAATAAGTACATGTTTTAAGCCGCATCAGGAATTGTGCAGCAATTCGCCGCTAAAACAACAACAACACCCATGGATCTATGATGGTGTTATTTTAGGTATACATACTCCTCTTTTCATTTCATATGATAACATGCTAGCCCATCCACAAAACAAAAAGAAATAAAAGATTCACTTCGTAAAAGGAAATATTTATGATTTATTCATCGTTGGTACTTAAAATAGTTCAGGATATGAAATGGCGGGCTCTGACAAAGACAAAGTACTATTCTAGAGAGGTGTTTATCTATCGACTGAATGCCACTAAATCGCATCAGAGTGTCAACCAAAACGGTATGATTAACAAGGGAAATACATATCGCAGGACAGTAGTGTACACAGAGAGTAATCCCAACACCATTGCATCCTCGTGCAAGTGATCATTGAGTCACACTTTAAACGGAAGTGAAAGTAGAATGGAAACAGACCAAACTGGGGAAACAAACTGCTGGTAGATCGAATCTAAGTAATAAAATGAATGATTTCATGAATTCAGTATGCAAATAATATTATGTGACTCTTTATAATATTACAATCTTAAAGTGGGCTGTAGATCACAAGTAGCCAAGGTGAGGCCAGCAAACCAGGGACCATGGGAGCTAACGGCCACACATTTTATATTGACATGATAGTCTTATATATTCTGTGTCAGTAAACGCCTCTCAAAGAAAGTAAACGAGCGTTTACTTATGTATTCTGTGACAGTAATTGCAGTGTTTACTTATGTAATTTATATCAGTAAACGCAGTGTTTACTTATATATTCTGTGTCGGTAAATGCAGCGTTTACAGTATCACAGAACACATAAATGTAAACTCTTTCTTCTTGTGTTTTTTCTTTCACCTAAAAAGACACTTTATACTGAACAAGTAATGCAGGTAACTCTGTTCAATGAATTTGTTATTGACTAATATATATATCTATATATATATATAGATAGATAGATAGATACCAGACCAAACGAATATCCAGCCTTTACTATCCCAAGAATATCCCTTTGGTGCAAGAGGGGAAAATAGCTCTGAATGGATCACTTTAAAAGTATTTTTTCAAGATTATTTTCCTGACAAAAAGGTTCAACTCTAATGGCTTTGATACTGCGCCAAAAGCATCATGACCACTGACTTAAGGCCTGACATCCGCTTACCCGGGACACCGTCCTCGTGAAAATTAGAATTATACCCAACTTACTTTTGTTCAGCTCATCTGCTATGTTTATGGCCGCCCCTATAATCAACACCGCCATCACAACAGCATAGAGGAACGTCAGCAGCTTCGCAGTCTGCAAAATGTAGATGCAACGTTTCGGGAATGGTTTGGAATATACCCAAATGCATTCGACAAAACAGTTATCTCATTGGTGTTTCATAAATGCGAACTATATTCGTGACTCGATCAAGCCATCTCAGACACCATCATCCACGCTTTACGGTAAAATCGGTGGTGCCATTACTCATTGCCAGACTTTGTCATATATATATGTAGTTATAATATCATTGACAGAGGAACCAATACTAACATATAAGCACCTCAGGACGATACATAAGGAAATGAGATATCTTGGCAGGACCTTCGCGAAAGACCCAATATGTGTAGCAACAAAATTAGATAAGAGTTTCCTCATGCAGATTTCACTTCAGAGATCGATGGATGCATATCATTTTGCACTCTACAACACACGGTAATGCTCATTCGCCTGCAGGGTTCATCCAAAGCGTCTTAAGCGACTTCACGGTGTATCAGTACGTCACAGACATGGGTTACTTCAAGAATGACATTAAATGATTAGGAAATTTTCGTCCTCATGTTGTCTATACGGTGCAACCTTCACAATTCATATTTTCAAGCAGATGTATGCGACACATAAACGCTTCTGATAATACTCAAGAATGGCATTACATGATTTTAGTTCTCACGTCTCTCTCACGGTATAACATGCACAATTCAAATTGCGTGCAGATGTTTGCGACCTACAAACGCTCTCTGATAGTAGCCAGGAATGACATTACATGGTTATCGCCCTCACATCACCCGCACAATAAAGCATACACAATTCACATTTCGTGCAGATGTTTGCCATACACAAACACTCTCTGATAATACTCAAGGATGACATTACGTTATATCGGCCTCACGTCTCCAACGCGGTACAACATGCACAATTCAAATTTCGTGCAGATGATTCCCATACAAATACCCTCTCAGTCAGTGTGATCACAAGGATGTAGTAATGATGTGTGTTTACCAGAAGCTGCGTCTTCTCCGACGTGAAGAGACAGATGAAGGTGAAGCTGGCAGCGATGCTGAGCTGAAGCAGCCCTGAGAGTACAGGAGCCACGTCCCAGGCGAATGACAAACCACCTTTACGACAAAATAGAAAACTCACAAGTTACCCAGAACACAATGACATTTATGACAAAAGAGTATAGTAACCTTCAGAGTAAAACAACATATTCATTATCAACATTTAACATTATAGCAAATTTATAGGAAACAAGGTATTCATTTGTAGAATATAATAAAGAAGTCACCTCGACAATTTAATTGATGCCATAATACCTTGTCAAAACAAAGTACCCTAAAGTAACTCAGTAACACTGTCACTGACACCTTGAATTAGTTCACACGAGGCATATTATGTTTCCAGATTAAGACACAAATGCAGCAGAGGCATTCGGTTGATCCTGGCATTATCAGCCTGGTAAGACTCTTCATCGGCTCAAGGCCCTTGCCCCTCTACACGCAGCGAAGACAGCGAATGGGGCTTAAGCTCTGTCTAGTCAAACACACAGGAAGTTTCAGAGAGATGTCAGAAGGGCTGTCCTCCCGGTGGAGAGCCTGGGCACTCTCTGATCTGCGCCAAGAGATCAGATGGTACCATACCAAGGGCACCGGGAACAATGTTAAGGCTAAAAGACAGTGTACTTGGGGTGCAAGCGAGACATTTCAGGGCGAGGTCTGTATATTTAGCATGCTTTTCCTGAATCTTGCCAATCACACTGCTGTCAAGGGGAACAGAAAATTCAATGATAATTATTATCTTACCTGAAACAATTAAGATGACCATGCTTGGACCAATCAGAGTTGACACGAGAAAGAGCAATCTGGTAGGCAATAAACAACGGTGACATTCGGTAGTTGAACAGCCGAATGACCTTCCACTGTTTGATCAGTAGCATTAAGTTGGCAATGGTGGAGGCTATCCAACGTCGACGCTGTTTGTAGAACTCCTCAAAGTCACTAGGACGGTGCGTGGAGTTCTTTGAGGCTGCGCAGTACTCAATTCTCCAGCCGGTCTGAATCTGAAAAGTTACGATTTGTGTGGGAACGGATAAAACAAATGACTAATACATGCAGTGAAAACATCTGTGGCGGCTCCAGTACTGGTATCCCGATTTCCTCTCCACCATAAAATAGAACTTTTAAGCTTAATTCAACATGACTGAACCCTTGACAACCGAAACATTCATTGTCTCATGGCCATGTATATTGTCAGGTGCCACACCCCCAGCCATCACAATAGATAAAACACCATTAAACAGAAACGTGAGCGCCTGTGAAGATTAGATCGGTGAAATATGGCTTTACGCCAATCTACTGCTTCCACGTTTCTTCAGAAGAAACCGTGTGTCAAAATTATAATTCCTTACCGACAATCATTCACTCACTCCTTAATATATCTCAACACATGCTCACCATGAGAGTACACAGCCAGCGATCCTCTCCCATGTCTTTAGTGAGGAAGTCAAACGCATGTTCCACATTGGTGGAGTATACTGTGAGGATCTCCTTGAGGGCGACACAGCGGTACACGCTAAAACTCCCCGGAGCACAGAGCACCGAACCCAGAACATGTTCTGCTGCCTTGAAATAAAGTGTGTAAGAGTTAATCCAGCGTGTAGTCTAGTGACAACAGCACTTGCACCTCTGCACCTAACAATTGCAATAAATCATGGTTTATTTTGAAAGAACAGACGCTTTTCTCAGCAATGATATCCAACAAAACAGTATGTCTTCGTTATTTACCGAGAAAGAGATCATGGTCTTCCAAAATACATTTGGCCCCAGTTTGAACCGTTATGTTTAGTTTCATTATTTATAAAAAAATGTATGGATATAATGTATGTATATATATATACACATTACTGTATACTTTTTTCATACCAGAAAGTTTACTGAACATTGTTAAATCAATCACAACCTACGTTTGACTAGTCGTATGACAACCAACATTTACTGAAGTTAAATACGTCATTAACAATCCATGTATCAGGATTCTATAACACACTATGACGTCAGAGAACCTGACAACCGATCGTGCTGGTCAAGCTAGGATGTTTCACTAGAATGTTCACAGCTGAGGGGACAAGAATGTCATGTGTGTTTGTATGTCCATCATATAAGACTGAGTGATGGTACAAGAATGTCATGTGTGTTTGTATGCCCATCATTTAAGACTGAGTGAGGTTAGTTGTACGTCGCTTTAGCAGTATTCACCAGAAACTACCTCCACCAATTGTACCCATTCTCGGGAATAGAACTCATATCTTTGACGTAAACGCTCTAACCCATGGCTAACCCGTGGGATATAAGGAATGTCTGATGTAACTGCATGTCAGTGAGTTTTACAAAACGCCCACCTTCTGAAACCAGTGTCCTATTGCATACTCGAACACTTGATACCATACAAGAGGTCCACTTCCGATTGGGTGGGTGCGTGCGCATACTGCACCAACTGTGGGGTCACGATGTCATGAGATCAAGAAGCGCTTCCACCGATTCTGGAGTAATGCGACAT